GATTGAGCACCGGAGGGGAGTTGAATGTTTTCTGGAAGTGTGATCGGAAGGTGTCCGCCACCTCTGTTGGGGATGAGACAATCGATCCGTCTGGATTAGTGAGAGCTACGGAGCAGAGAGAGGGCTTACGTAAGCTACGGATGTGTTTAAAGAAGAAGGGCTCATTATTTCGAGCATTGGTAAGGATGACTCTCTGGGGGTAACTTTGATGCTCCCGAATTTTGTGTCGGCATAGGTTTCTAACTTGTTTGAAGGATCTCTGTCGGCCCCGAGGCTAGTATTCATGTATGTACTGGTTCATCATTTCAGTAGGGAGACTTTTTAACCGACAATATTAAATGAAGTGGTTTATCGTTCTAATAATGCAGCATATCCCACTCACATGAATATTGCGACACTTATCCATAGTTTTACACCTTAACACTTCTTTGAATTCCTACTTTGTGTTAAATGTATTGAATGTAACTTTCGATACGCATACGAACAGTGACATTTGTTTATTTCACTCGATTATACAAACACATTTCGACGCGCACAATATAAAGACTCTAAAAGCAGTGTGAACACATCATTCCACACACTTACGTCTCAGACTCGCTTGCTTGCAAACTTTAGTTGTACGTTATTATTTCTCTGTATATGATTATTCATGCATTATAGAATAGTGTCTGACGAATCTTGGTTGTTGATCCTGCATCTTTTGTTCGTTGGGACGCGAAGAATTCCAAGTAACGAATGAGACCTAGAAGGGCAAATCGCAGCTAAACCGACAGGAAATCTGTAGGAGATAGTTGGAAGAAGTCGATTAAGGACGATCGATTATTTCCTACAATGTATCTCGCAAAAAGCCTGGCCCTTGTATCTAACAGCCGGCGAATTGGGCGAGGGAGAGTAGGCTTAGCACTGGAAGTAGTTCGAATTCGGGGAACGAATAACAAGTCTGGGAGAGATGACTTGCTCTTTGCGCCTGTCGAGGCTGTCGACAGAAACTTCAGAAGGAGAGACGTGTGGTTACAAAAAGCGATTGACGGTTTCGAAGTTTGTTCTTTTGAAGGAACGAACGTATCGAGTGTTATCGCTAAACAGACTCTAGGTTACTATGTAGTCAAAAGTCGGTGAAACATGATCGCTTTTTCCAGGAGGAAAAAGTTGGTTAATGACATCAACCTGGTATCTTTCATTGGTGATGACTAGATCTAGTAAAGATTGGGTGTGTCCTTGTCGGAACCTGGTTGGAAAATACATGTGCTACGTCCAGGATTTCTTGACTAGGAGGTAAGTTAGAGGGCAACCAAAGAGGATGTCTGTCGGGAACGTCTTTTGCCAGTCGATGCCTGGGCAATTGAAACCCCTTACAACGAGAAGGCGTGTTAGCAACTTTCCGTGATAGACCCAAACTGGTCTATCAGGAGCTGATTCTCTAGTAGACTGGATTTTTGTGGGCGATAGACTAGGCACATCAGGAAGTTGATCGTCCTGGAGATCTAAAAACAGATCCACAGACTATCAATGAGAGGAATAGGATCCGTGTTTATGAAGATTGGAGGAGGGAGATGGTGCTTGCAATATATTATGACTCCACATGCTCTTCCGCGGGTGGTCTTTTCTAATAAGGGAATAGCCTGGTATGGCTACTTCACTATCGGCGAAGTCCGCCGTGAGCCAGGTGTCTGTTAGCATCAAAAAGTCTAGGTTATTGTCTAGCGCAAGCTGCCTCAATTCTAGAATCTTATTGGGGAGGCTGAGGCAGGTGCAATAAAAGCATTTAAAAATTCGCTCATCATGAGGTGAAGAGAGGGGAGGAGTTGGTGGAGACATTAATGAGGGGGGGACGGGAACCCCAAGTGATGCCGGTCGGAATTTCTGTTTGGCACCTACGTGTAGCAAGAGTGGAGGTTTCAGGGATGGGCGAACTTGATTTGGCCGTCTTTCTAAGGGAAGAACCTCCGGAACCCACATCCGAAAAGTTGGTGTCTTACTGTAGATGGATACGGAAGTTGGGAGGAAGGAAAGAGCTTTAGAGAACCTGATAGGCTTCAGGAGAGTTGGCAGGGTAGTCTGTGGCGATTCGGATTTACGAAATCATGTCTGCACTGGAGCAGCGCGGTACAATTTCCGTCGAGCACTGACGCCAGTAGCACGTGCACAGCCTCCGGATACACGTCATTGGTGGACCGTTCCAGCCGATCAGATACAATGCACAGAAGAGCAGTATGACGCAAGATGTGATGCAATATTATTGTTGGAAACTAAGGTAGCCAATGATCTTTTCTTGTGTACATATATATTCACTTTCATTTCCTTCAATAAACGACTTTGTTATTCGCCTATCTTATGGCCTTTTTCCTCGCGTCTCGATCCTGCGGGTTACTGCGAGTTCGAGCCATTGCGGTTCAGTGCCATCGGTTTTCCAATTCGTGTTCCGTGATTCCTATTGCGTAGTTTGTGTCCTGGATTCTGTGCGTGAATTCGCTACTACTACTTCTACTACCATTACACAGTCTTGAGTTTCTGGGCAATGGCAACAGGCAGCTGATGCTATTTTACCCGTGACTATGTTAGGACGAGGGGATCATCAAATAGGCCCTTTTTGCTCCGGAGGGCGTTGATCTCTGTGGGCCGGGTTCGCTTTTTCTGGTTTGTGGTCCCGGGGACCATACGCACCGATGTCTTTTCTCTGAGGTTGATCTCTGCGTGCGCATAACACACACTGTGTTCGCCGAGCTGCGTGCTACTGGCTTGAGGGAGATCTCTGTCTCGTTTAGAGGGAAAGCTTTGGGCGAGGTGGGTTGTGAGTGGGTTACACCAGCTTCCAGACGTATGACTGAGACGAAGGCGGTTCAGGCAAGCTTGGAATCTTTCGAGGGATAATGGGGGGTGTTCCACTTTGCAACAGAGAGCCTAAGGTGCTGAGGTTTATCAACCGATACCCCTTTGTGTCCCTTACATGATCGTTTTGGGGATGGAGCAAACGCGATGAAGTTACGGGCTATAAAAGGGGAGCCAATATCTACTACGAGGCCATGAGGAGTTTTTGCTTTCTTTAACATAAGCCACGAGCATTTGCCGGGCTCAAAAACCGTCGTATCCAGATGTTTAAATGTTAACTACGTCATTTCCT